AGACCAAGACTTGATGCAAAAAGCAAGAGGTTTTATTACAAGCGCAGCGCAGGGGCGCACAGCGTCACCAGGTTGGGTAGCTGCCGCGCCGAGGCTTACAAGTTTGAGGTTTATAAAGGTAAAAACCACACGCAGGTGGTCAGGGGCAAACGGATAAGAGGAGTTTCGGGGCAGATGGATAAGAGGAAATTCCAGAGGCTTAATCTTGCACAAACTACTCCAGGAGGCCAAGGGTGGGGTAATCTTGTCGGCTGCAATGGGAACTGCCAGCCTGGGGTGGAGAAATTCCAAGAAGCTGCAATCGACACTCGCAGGCAAGTTTAAGCAAGGACACACGGGGGGTTTTGTTACATCTTTGCAGGCCTACTCTAGGAAGTTCAGCCTGTCATGGAGTCACTCCTGTCCCGTGTAGCTATATTTAACTATCAACTAAGAGCAAGCACAGTGACAGAAGCAAATGGCATCAGTTAGAATTAAAGAGAACACTTCTGCTATAACCTTACATGCCTTACATTTCACACACACACACACACACACAAGGGGGGAGATTCTGCTATAACCTTACAAAACCAGTTAACTATCTGTGATTCAATATGTTTTAATAAATATGAAGATGAAATCTATATCTTGCTTCTCAGTAGTAATTTGTGACCACTGTGCTCACAAATGATTTAACATCTAACTATTCAGGACCTGGGAAATGACAATTGTCATCACAGTATTTTTGTGGAAATTGCTCACATTCAGTTAGTGATGGATTTACTGCAGCTGGAGAGTTTTAGCTTTTCACTCTATCTCTAATTGTGTGTGACTCTGTCAAGGCTGGATCATAGGTCCCTTTGTTTTTCATGGTTAATGTATGACCAGTTGGTCTCTTCTGTGAGTCATTATGATTAACCTTGACAGTTTTCTCTGTCCGGTAAAAATAGATGTTGGAAATATTTCTACAACAAATATTGATGTAGCAATTTAATGTGTGTCAGATAATGCTCTTTATCCTGGTGGCACAATACACATCTGCTAGAAGGAGAGAGGGGTGCACAGACAAATACGTATACTATAACAGCAAAACATAGTGTGATGAATTTTGTGGAAGCATAAGCACAGAATATACGTTAGAGTACACAGTGGGGCCAAATTATTCCAAATTTGGCAGAAGGAGAGAAAGAAAGACTAATGGAGGGCTCAGGGGAGCCTTTCCATAGGGATGAGTCTAGAGGTAATGAATATCTAGTCCTGGAAATGAGCACACTCTATGCAATGCAGATAGCTATGCAATGTAAGTATTTCCAAAGTGGCATTCAGGATTCTTCCTCCCTCCACACTCCCCTTTGTCCTTCTTTTGCTTTTACTTTCCTTTTTCTCTCCCTCTTTTCCTTTCTCTTTTCTTTTCTCCCTCTCTTCTTCATAATGAACTTCATATGCATTGAAATTTATTAAACCAATTCTCAGTTCATGGTCTACTGTCATCATTGGACTCTTCTAGGCCCTCATTAAGTCATTCATTCATTCATTTATGATATTATAACTAATACATATGAAACATTAACAATTACTTAACATCTACTCTTTTGCCTCTCTCTTTTTCCATCCCCTTACCCTTCCTAAAAGGTAACCGCTATCCTGAATTGTGTGATTGTGTGTATCATCCCTTTGTTCATTGGTTTGCTTTTGTATATAATGTACCTAAACAATACATTGCTAAGTTGGTTTTTAACTCAATAAAAACGATTTTCTGCTGGGATTTTATTCCAGTCAACATTATATTAATATGATTTACTATGTTTTTATTTGTAACTGAAATCATTCAATTCCACTCCAGTTAATATTCCATTTTGTGAATAAATGCAAACTGTCCATTTTCATGTTGATGAGCAATTGAATTGTTTCCATTTATGTTATTATAAACAGTGATCCTATGAACATCTTCTTACTTGCCATCTAAGACACATGAAAGTTTCTGCCGGGTGATATTCCTGGCACTAGAAATATTGGGCCATAAGGTATGCAAAAGTTGAAAGATAATACCAAATTGTTCTTGTAACTGTTGTACCAATTTACACTCCCACCAGCAGTGCATAAGAGCTTATGTTGATCAACATCCTCCCAGCACTTGGTCATCTGAGACTAATTTCTGTTAATTGAATGCCACGTAATGTGACTGCTAGCTAATGGTGTGTGGTTTTGATTTGCATTTCCCAGGTTACTAATGAAATTGTGCATCTCTTGGTATGTTTATTGGTCATATATGTCTTATCTAACCTTTCAATTAAAAGATTTTATTAGTCTATACTAATGAATACTTACTATTTGTCTATTGATAGGGACTGTAATATTTTAATCATAAAGATATATGTGGCCATTAAGAAGAAATAGACATATATTTTAGTAGTATATAAAATGGTGGGTTAATTTCTAATAAAGGATATATAGTCAAAATGGCTAACAAAACAATAGGAAATAATTCCATTTTGAAATTGTGTTTATGACATTTTTTTTCACAGCTTGATGTTTATTTTTCTTTTTAACAGAACGATTTAGAGATTTGCTACTGCCTCCATCTAGTCAAGACTCTGAGATTCTGCCCTTCATTCAATCTAGAAGTTATCCCAAGTAAGCAAAAGGAGTTCACTGGGTGTTGGGAAGGCAATGGACATGGTGCTGGAGAGATTTGGGCAGACAAAGATAAAATGTAAACTTTCTTAGGATTTCTGAAAATCTTGAATAATTTACCCTAACCAACTAGGGAATCTCCTGCAATACAAAGTCACAGGCTTTTCACAGCTGGGTCAGAGAAGAAAGATTTGCTTTTGAGTGCAGCCCAGCTATGACTAAGGAGCTGCTACAGAGTACAGACAATAAGCTGTCTGCATCAGTGTCCAGTCCTGCTTCTTTTTGCTTGATGCTTATCAAGAGGAGCAGGTATTTTGTGGGTGGTATCTCATCTGGTTTCCTATTTTCTGTCCTTTCAATGCAAGGATTTATTTATATTACTGGTTGAAGGAATATGCCTTTATCTCCCTGAAGGATAGGAAGTACCAGGCCTCCTATTATATATGCCCTTCCTTAAAATCTGATGGATGCTGGAGTCTTGATCCTTCCTGTGGAATCTTGGAAAATCTGAGTATCTGACTAGCTTTACAAGTTAGTATGCAACAGGCTAAAGAATAAATAAACTTATATCTGAAATAGGAAAGGAAGGTCACCAACTTAAAGATTTAGTGTTTGGTTTATACATATTTCATCAAAACTAATTACTGTGCTATAGTCTTGGATTGCTTTGTGAGTTTATTCAAGTATTCACTAAACTTTGCTTTCTGGGGAAATTATTTCCTTCCTAATACTTAGCTTTGATAATGCTTACTTAATTCTGAGAACAAAAGTAAATATAGAATCCTAATGATATTGCTTGTGCATTGTTTCAGATATTAATCCAAATTTAATCTTTAGCAATAATTTTATAATTCCCTAATAATACACACAAGGACATACATGTATCTATACAGCCTTGCATGCATACATTACTCTTTATATACACCCTGGCAGGAAGCATGCGTGTACTTGAAAAGACTAATGCGTGACTATGATATCAACATTTTTATCCACAGCTGTTGTTTTCAGCGGCTGATAACGCCCTCATTTCTGCCTCTTAGGCTTACTGTCCGCCTAACACTTTTGCTTGAACAGAGTAGTCACAGTAGTTTCTCAGATTGTTATCTATTTGCAGTTACAAGCATACATCCGAGATTTGTGGGTTCAGTTCTAGACCACTGCAGTAAAGTGAGTCACACAAATTTTTTGGTTTCCCAGTGCATATAAAAGTTATGTTTATACTATACTTTATTAAGTGTGCACTAGCATATGTAGAAAAAACAATGCGCATGCCTTAATTAAAAATTACCTTATTGCTAAAGAATGCTAACAATCATCTGAGCCGTCAGCAAGTTGTAAACTTTTTGCTGGTGGAGGGTCTTGCCTAGATGTTGATGGCTGCTGACTGATCAGGGTGGTGGTTGCTGAACGCTGGGGTAGTTGTGACGATTTCTTAAAATATGACAGCACTGAAGAATGCCACATCAATTGACTCTTCTTTTTACAAAAGATTTCCCTGTAGCATGTGATGCTGACTGGTAGCATTTTACCTACAGTGGAACTTATCTCAAAATTGAAGTCGATCCTCTCAACCCCTGGTACTGCTTTATCAACTAAGTTTATGAAATATCTAAATCTTTTGTCATTTCAACAATGTTCACAGTGTCTTCACCAAGAGTATATTCCGTCTCAAGAAATCACTTTCTTTGCTCATCCATAAGAAGCAACTCCTCATCCATTACCGTGAGATTGCAGCAATTCAGTCACATATTCAGGTCCCCCTTCTAATTCTAATTCTCCTGCTATTTCCACCACGACTGCAGTTACTTTCTCCACTGAAGTTTCAAACCCCTCCGAGTCATCCATGAGGGTTAGAATCAACTTCTTACAAATTCCTGTTAATGTTGGTATTCTGACCTTCTCCCATGAATCACGAATGTTCTTACTGGTATCTAGAATGGTGAATCTTTTTCATAAGGTTCTCAAATTTATTTTGCCATCAGAGGAATCACTATCTGTGGCAATTATAGCCTTACAAAATGTATTTCTTGAATAATAAGACTTGAAAGTTGAAATTACTCCTTGATCCACGGGCTGCAGAATGGATGTTGTGTTAGCAGGCGTGCAAACAACATTCACCTTCTGTACATTGCCATCAGAACTCTTGGGTGACTAGGTGCATTGTCAATGAGCAGTAATAGTTTGAAAGGAATCTTTTCTCAGAGCAGTAAATCTGAACAATTGACTCCAGATACTCAGTAAACCATGCTGTAAACAGATGTGCTATAATTCAGGCTTTCTTTTCCCATTTATAGAGCATAGGCAGAGTAGATTCAGCATCATTCTTAAGGGCTCTAGGATTTTCGGAATGGTAATTGAGCTTTGACTTCGACTTAAAGTCACCACTGCATTAGTCCTTAACGAGAGTCAGTCTGGCACGTGAAGCTTTGAAGCCAGGCACTGACTTCTCTCTAGCTATGAAAATCCTGATGGCACCTTCTTCCTCTATAAGGCTATTTTGTCTACACTGAAAATCCATTGTTTAATGTAGCCTCTTTCATCGATTATCTTAGCTGGATCTTCAGGATAACTGCTGTAGCTTCCACATCAGCACTTGCTGCTTCATTTTGAGCTCTTATGTTATGGAAATGGCTTTTTTTCCTTAAACCTCATGAACCTCTTTTGAACTTTTCCTCTGCAGCCTCCTCAACTATCTCAGCCTTCAAAGAATGGAAGAGAGTTAGGGCCTTGCTCTGGATTTGGCTTTGTCTTAAAGGAATATTGTAGCTGGTTTGGCTTATCTGGACCACTAAAACTTTCTCTGTATCAGCAATAAGGCTGTTTTGCTTTCTCAATATTTGTGTGTTCACAATGTGATGTAGCACTTTTAATTTCCTTCAAGAACTTTTCCTTTGCATTCATAACTTGGCTAACTTTGGCTCAAGAGGCCTAACTTTCATCCTATCTTGCTTCGCAACATTCCTCCCTCACTAAGCATAATCATTTCTAGCTTTTGATTTGACTCTTCCTTTCACTTGAACACTAGGAGGACATTTAGGGTTATTTATTGACATAATTTCATTATTGTTTTGTCTTGGAGGCCCAAGGAAAGGACGAGAGACAGGTGAATGACTGGTTGGTGGAGCAGTCAGAGCACGTAAAACATTTATGGATTAAATTTTCTGTCTTATATGGATAAGGTTCATGGAGCCCCAAACCAGTTACAATAGTTATATCAAAGGTCACTGATGACAGGTCACCATAACAGATATAATACTAATGAAAAAGTTTGAAATATTGTGACAATTACAAAAATGTGATACAGAGACACAAGGTGAGCACGTGCTATTGGAAAAGTGGCACCAAAAGACTTGCTTGATGCAGGGTTGCCACAAACCTTCAATTTGTAAAGAACACAATATCTGCAAAGTGCAATAAAGCAAAGCACAATAAAATAAGGTATGGCTATATTTTCCTAGGTTTCTTTAACTGTACTGCCTTATACTCCCCCTTCTTTTTCTTAGATTACTTTTCTGATAGTGTTATAGTCAGTTCAGGCTGCTATAATAAATTGCTGTAGATTGGGTGATTTAAACAACAGACATCCATTTCTCATAGTTCTGGAGACTGGGAAATCCAAGATCAAGGCTTTGCAGATTAGGTGATGAGTGAGTGTTTTTGGTTCTTTTGTTCTCATTGTATCCTCACCTGGAAGAGAAGAGAGAGAGAACGCCAGCTCTCTTCTGTGTCTTCCTGTAACAGCACTAATCTTATCATGAAGGCTCCACTCTCATGGCCTAATTACCTTCCAAAGGCTCTATTTCCAAATACCATTGCATTGGGGATTAGGGTTTCAACATAAGCATTTGGTGGGGACACACACGTTCACTCCATAGAAGATAATGATAATTCATTCTAATCTTTAACAGAGATAACCTATGACAATCCTTCTTCAGTGTCTAACCCTGGGGCAGATGTACTTTTTGGCATCTGTAAATTAAAAGAATAAAAATCATACACTGATATCACACACTACATTATGGAAGTTAAGAGTGCCGACTCTGACTTTGTGTCCTGGGGCAACCTACTACCTCTGTGACTCACTTCTGCCTATCAGGAAAGGGGGATGAAAACAACACCTAATACTCAGGGGTGTCATGAAGCTTAAATGAATTAATAAACATAAAATATTTAGAACAAAGTTTGGCACATAGTAAATACTCCGTATCAGCTGCTGGTGTTATTTATTATTATTTATTTAACATCGCATGTAGAATTAACTAGATTTTCATGTTTCTAAACACCTTAGGGAAGCACTTTGTTCATCGATCTTTAAGAATAGCTCTGTTGCAGGCTATTTTTGTGAGCCTGCCTTTATTAATACCTAGGGAATTATTATTTAGCCAATATTTCTAAATTATTTTTAGTTACTAATGTGATACACTGCTTTGGTGACCACTTAACATCTTGATGAGCTTCGCTTTTCTGAACTATCAGTGAAAGCATGCTAATTAAAAGTTTTTGAGTCTGAGTGATATTTATATAAATAATTCCAGATTACAGACAGTTTATTTAAATTATAGAATATTAAGTACTTCCATGTTTGCATGTAACGCCTACTTTGGCAGTAGAATTTTAGGAAGTGTGAGTGGAACAGAGAAGAGACGATAAAATTCTATCCATTTGTGCTGTGCCTAGAGATTGATGAATTGGTCCAGAGAAGAGAATGGGAGCAAAGACTGGGCATGTGAAGAATGTTGAGTAGGAAAGAAGAAATTTACAGTAAGGGCCAAATCAATAAATATGAATGGGTAGAGATTTGTGTATGTCTAGACCTGATTTAAAATTTTGCTTTGTCTGTGGTTTTAAATATTCTCAATTATATTCTCTCGTAGATGTAATTTCATTTATTTATTATTGCAGATAACTGAAAGTCAATGAATTTGTAATTTTGTGACAAAAAATTAGGGAAAGTAGAAAATTTAGTCAACCAATTAGAATTATTTTCTCTCATTTGTAAC